CCGAGTTGGCCTGGCTTTATTTTTCCTGCGGGAGATTTAAAAGGCTTTATTCTGTCTGCATTGGCAGGTAACGTTACGATGTTTTATAGAACATTGTATTGAGGTAAAGTTGGCTTTATATATGAACATTGGGACTTTCTCTTTAATAATACTCTCTCAGAAAAGTATTATTTGCTAATTCTACATGGGGAAATCACATTAGCAGCCGATGACTATCAAAGTACAACATTGTTAACAGTCAGTTAAATAATGCTAATGTTGTTTTGACCCCATACTTACATGCGACTTAAGATCCAATGTTCAAAGTAGCGTGTTAAACAATATATTCATATTAAATGAAAGAATGTCTGAATATAAAAGCAACTTTACCTCAATGAACTTTACCTCAATGAGTATTTTCATTATGGGCTGTTGTAAGACTGTGGTAGGGAGAGCACTGCACAGAGTAACACTTTTTGGTTTTGGCCAAATAATAAACAAAGTAATTGGGGTTAGACAAACTATATTTTTATTAACAACACACAAGCCTGTCCAGCACTAGTTGTATGATCACCGGCCCTATGGTTTATGTGCAGTATTTCCAAAAGTGCTAGGAGTAAAAATGTTACCCCACCTGCGGGGCAAGTTTTAACAGACTGGGGGTTTGATGTAACACATGCTTATAAAGTTAGATTTGACACAATTAATTTAAACTGAGTTTACTTTAAATAGTATATTTCCTCAGTACTTAAGTCAATTTTTTATTATACATAGCACAGAATGTTTATTTATTTATCGGATAAACACAATTGCAATTTTTTGCATTATTTTTCATTATTATACAATGCATTTATTTGCATTATTAACAATAAAATATGTTTTTTTCTATTAAAAACATTTTTTAATTAAAAAAGTTCCCAGTTAGTTTATTTCAACTAACTTTAGTTAAATTAAAAAAAGTTGTGTTAGTTTAATTGGTGTCCAACAGTGTGTGGCTTATTTGTAAGACCCTGTTACAACTAACACTGCTGTGTAGATTTCCTCAAAACTGGCTAGCAGTCACCGTTTTTTTAAATTTATTTTTTTTTTTACATCTTTTAAAATGATTCCATATTTTAAATTTAGCCTAGAAAACAGTAATCGATACAATATAGGAGCAGTTCCAGCGTTATGGATGTGACATTTGCAGTAATATCCTAAAACATGAATTCACGTCGAAAGTATATGGTAACATTATATTGAAACTATAGTTTATATTTTCCCAAAACAACTAAGCACAGAGTTATGGGAGCAGAAAAATATCCATCTAAATTAACATGCGTTATGGATGTGACTAGTTTACAGTACACAACATACTTTGTGGAAATTCTGTGAATTAAATTGCACAACCAAAAAGAAATAATGATAAGTAAAAAGGAAAGAGTCTGCTCACTATAGAACAAAAATTTAAGATTTTGTTTTATTTGAATTTTTTTTGCATTTTTGGGGAAAAAGCTCCGTTACGGATGTGACGTCTCTTGGTTTATAATCCTAGAATTTCGCTAGAATTGATTTCAAACACTGAACATTAGTAAAAGTTGATGATATTTTTTTTAATTAATGAAGAAAATATACATCAGAATAACTTGCATGCTATTTCCCATAACATACAGTAAACATTCACCAAAAATGCACACAAATACATTCACTTGGCTTATACATAGAATCAAACCAAACATCTTGTCAAAAGAAAATGCCAACAATGTCTTTAGAAGGCAAATATGCTATTTAATTAAATGCATTCCTTCTTGAACACAAATCAAACAACCTCAGTGACTGAAGTGTTTTGAAAAAATTATGTACAATGTCCTGTTTTTCCAGGTATGTGCTTAAAAATAAATATTTTAGCGTCTAGTAGACCGCATTAGCAGGCATGACATTATTAAAAAGATTTCCAGGAAACATTTCTTACCCCCTTAATTATGTTTTTTTTTTTTGCATGAAGGCTAATCGTGGCTTCACGTGATGTGTCTTGTCAACACATAGGCAGTAAAGTCCAAATATATACACTTTATGATTGTTCAGAGGACAAAATGAGCACATTTATTATTGTTTTGTGATTGGCCCTTCATTGCAGTATTAAATAAATGTCACATAAAGACTTACAAATGTCCTTGCATTATAAAAGAAATACATAACAATACTTTTTTTATTGTCTCAGGTCTGGATTGTATTGTTTTAATCACTTTTCTTATTTTTACACCGTTCCATGAATACATAATGTGAGAAGTGTATGCATGAATTGAAGATTGATCGTTGCTTTTTTACAACACTGTCTCGGGCGAAAGCGACAGATGGTAGAAATGAGTAAGAAAGATTAAAAATCCGTTTGGAGAAATACAGTACAGACACTTTAGCAGCACCTTGACGTTCTAGTCTATAGTTTTGCTTGATTTGTATTCTGTACATATCTAACACAATATTGCACGCTCATTTTTAAGTTTTTGGCTATATATCACTGACATGTCACAGATATCGCACAGGGTTATACAGGTTAGCCTTGAAAAGGGCTCACATTTCTTGAACTTTCGACTCGGTGAGGGGGGGAAAAAGTGATTTGGTAAGACTTTACATTACAGAGTCCATATTATTAGTATAATTGATTATCACAGCGAGAATAATCAATAGGCATAATTACAGGCTGCCCCACAAAATAATTGCATATCAAGTACATTATTCATTGCTAAAACGTGAATTTGAAAACACCTTAATATCGAATAAATCCATAAAGATTTTTTTTTTTTTGCTTTTTTTTTTTTGTTTATGAGTTTAACATCACAGCTTACCAAAACCACTGGCTGATTCTTGATTTTCCTAGGGTTTGAATCATCTGTTCATTCAATTTATTTACTAAAATTGTCTTGTTCGATTCGGCTTTGATTCAAAACACAGACTCCGCATATGTGTTAAGTTGGTTAACAAAATCATGCCCTAAAGTTATGCACGACAAGATGTTTTTATTGTATTGTTTATTTAAAGGGACGTTGTGTGACATTCAGAAAGCTACAATGTAAAAAATGCTGGGTTCCACAATTAATTTGTGTTGGGAAAACATAAAAGAATTAAGTTAAATTACTAGTTTTTTTTTTATTAATTTAAGTGGATTGAACATAAAACAATTAAGTTCATTCTTTAAAAAAAACTTAAGAATTGTGTTGTTTCAGCTCACTTTAGATAAGTAGTTTGAACAAGCAGCAAACAATGTATAATTCAGAATTTGTTTCATTCATTGTTCAAAAGTATTTGCGGATTGTGTTTGCTGTTGTATATGTTAATAAACCTCCCAACTTCACATAAAAAAGTCAGTGCTTGTGTCAGCCTAAGATTTTGGGGAATGTCTTGTTTTGAAATTTTCTTAAGTCCTTCGCAATTTGGCAATAAAAGCAGTTATGTAAAAAGTCATACACGTATATATGCTCTAGCCCTTGTAAAATAGAATTCACAAACTACTAGTTGTGCGTTGCTTTAAAATATGCATTCAAAAGAACTGATTTGTTCACTTCAAAGATTCACAAAAACACTTATTCCCATGGAAGTGCATATAGTTGGAAAAAAAGCATATAACCTTACAAATAATTGGTTAATATTTTTAGTTTTAAACATAGAAACTAGCTTTGAGGAGTATGCAAACACAACACTTAAGGTACTCTTCAGAGCTAACAGACAGGAATTTGGTGGATAGTTAACCCAAGTAAGAAAATTCTATCATTTGCTCACTTTTACTTGTTACAAACCAGTTTGAGAGTTTTTTTTTTTTTGTACTGTTGCACACAAGAGAAAATGTATTGAGGAATGCTTAATACCTGAACCTAGGGCTGGGATGATAAGGAAAAAATGCAATCTTGATAATTATTTTCCATATTGATATAATAACATATATTGGGCTATAAGTTGTTAATGCTTCCAGACAAAAAGAGTACCATAACAATGACTGAAGCCACAAAAATTAGAGGGTCCATTCAATGCCTTAACATATTTTCGGCTGATTAATTTTCGGTGGCCAAAAATTCGGTACATCTTTAATCAACACTTTTTTTTTTTTTTTTTTTTTTAGATTCCCATTGTTGCATATTTCTGCTGTCTGATTGGCTCTTTGATCAAAATAGAGGGAAAAAAAAGTCCAGAGGTTGTCATTGTTATTGACATAATTTTTTTAATCACGATTCAATATAATATAGTTTATCAGCCCAGCCCAACCTGTAATCATTATCCATGTTTCCACTCACCTATTTTTATGAGCATTTTGGATTTGCGAAAAAAAAAAAAAGTTGATGGAAACGCCAAGATGTGCATCATTTTTGAAAATGTTTATAAAAAGCTTATATGCATAACTGAGGAGGACAAACTTGCTATTTGATAAGTACAGTTGCGGATAAACTATGATGGAAACGCGTTTACCGAACAAATTCCAGTATGAGCATTAAAAAAGGTCATGTGATTTTGTTAAAAAATTGTGTGAATGGACAAACCAGCAGGCTGAGCACACTGTAAAACATCTGTAATGTTGTTTTGTTAAGTCTAAAACGCCGTAACCATTTCAGTATTAGTGTTATTATATTATAAATGACCTCCATTACTGTCAAGAGCATCTGTGCTCCGCGTCTTATACCTTTACACACCACCATGATTTTATTGCGCGTTGGCATCGTCTTCTGAAGCGCAAGTAATTTATTAAATAAAAAAAGATTGACGCAGCTTCTCCTACCACAGCAAATTGCGTTTTAATGTTGATATTAGCTGCCAGGTAATCAGGAAATGGCGATTTTTGTTCTCTTAACTCAATGGATGGCAATGCTGCTTTATTCGCACGTCTTTTATGTGGTATTCCAGTTATGCGCACAAAGTTAATTTGCATCTTTGGATTAAAACATAGCTATCGACTTCTGTAGTAGGAAAAAGAAATACTATATAGGTCAGTGGCTATTTTTTCAAAATGTCTTCTTTCCTTAGACAGAGCCAAAAATTAAAAACTCAAACTGGTTTGGAACAAGTAAATGGTGATCAAATGTTGACAGAGTTTTCATTTTTGGGTGAATTATTCCTTTAAAATCCACACTCTTTAAGATGGACGCTGTAATGGAAAGTGACCATTTTCAATTCTCAAACGAACACCATTACTCATTTACATTTTCAACAACGCCCCAACTTCCAGCAGAACCATCTAGTTTGCCCTGTGGTAATAATAATACAGGTGAATATATCCTTGTCTACGACAGAGATCATACATTTTTAAGTTGTCTACCTTATCTAGGAACATGTTCGCCGCCGTATAGTATAAATATATATGCACCACAGTTAAAGCACCCCAGATGGCAGCCCGCTACACCACGCTCCTGTGAAGATAAATGAATGTGGCTTTCCCCAATAGCTCACTCTGAAGAAAACAATTGATTTTATTTGAAAACTGTTCTCTTATTCGCTTTTTTTTTTCTCCAGGCTGCCCAGCCAAGGATAAATGAATGTGCGTGTGTGTGTCTTTGTGTGTGCTAGAAGTTGCAAAGTCTTAATTATTTCGTGTTTGTCTCTGTGACAGAAAATCCTTTCACATACTGAGCAATGAGTGTCTTAAAACATCGATTTGAATGATCAAGAATATTAATTCTTCTCTAAAGGTGTTTTTTGCCTTAATTGCACATTTAACAGTCAGTTGCACCAGAAGCTTTTTTTTTTCTTTAGACGTTGTTGAAGCAGAAGTCTTCACGTTCGCTATTATTCTTCATCAGGCAGCAATATCGAAGCAGGTTTCCAGCACTGAGCATATCTAAAGGCGTTAATAAGAGTTTCGAGGCCCTTGGAGACCAACGGCATATTAAACTAAAATGCCAGCTTTGTTTTTAATGTCATAAAGGGAGGAAGTGCTCTGTCTCTTCTCTCTCTGCTGAGAAGGTGAGAGGCGAAAGGCGGTTGACATACAGTAACGTCTTGTCAGCTTTAGCTTTGAATCCTTTTCCTCTTCGAAAAATGTTGCTTTGGTGTGCAATCCACTCAAAACCATGCTAGCGATTGGAGATACAGTGAATATCTTCGCTGATTATATTCAAATTTGGGAATATAGTTTATAGCATGACATGTCTATCAATTCCACACATATCTCACACTAGTTTGGATGGTCAACGGCTAGAACTCCAAGAAAGACTTTCTGTGTTATTCTTAACGTTGAGAGTCTTTTTTTTGCATTGATTTCCTGAAAGGAATTAGCTGTTATAGCTTAATGACAACTCCTGTTTTTTTCCACCTGTCAATGAGCCTTATTTTACCCAGATTTTCTCTGAGCCTGACACTGGACGTGTCTTATTGAGGCACTTCCTAGCAATCCCATCATTGCCTTCTACCAGTCGGGAAGTACTTTCCCAAGCTTGCTTGATTCGTTAGCTTTTATTATATTGGAATGGCACGACTCGAGTTGGCATTCATGAGGATATGCAAACTGGTTTGCCGTTCTTGTCATACTGGTACACCAGCATCTTAATGCAGTGCGAGTTTGCAGGCGAGATCCATGGGCTGCTGGTGATTGAGAAGTTGTGACTGGCGTAAAAAGGTGGCGGCTGTTTTCTGCAGCGGAAAAAGGCTTTGAGCACCGTCCCGGCCATCCTCCGAAAGCGCTTGCTTATAAAGCAGTAGAGGAAGAAGTTGACCCCGGTGTTGAGCAGAGCAAGCATGTTCGCTACATCCGTTACCAAATGCAGGAGTCTAGCCGGACCCGGCATCGCTGGTTGCACCGTGTAAAGATGATAAAGAATCATAAGTGTACGAGGCGCCCATAAAACGGCGAACACTGAGGTGATGGCTAAAAGGATAGCCGTGGTCTTTCCGGTCGAGTATCCTCGGAGGCGGAAGCAGCTGCGACGGCAGCGGAGCTTGCGGACAATAATTGCGTTGAGGGAAAAGAAGACAGAGCAGGGCAGCAGGTAAACCGTGGCGCAGTGGACCCACACTAGCACATGCTGTCCTGCACTACTGCTGCGCCCCCCAGGGCTCGCTCCTGGGAGACCGTGCCACAGCTCCGGCCACCAATAATACGGCACACTGGAGATCAAGCACCCAGCGTACACCGCCAAGATGACTTTGCGAGTTCGGGCTGGGTAGGAGACTGTGTGGTAGCGTAGTGGATGGCACACGGCGATGTAGCGGTCGATGGTCAGTGGCACTGTGATCCAGATGGAGGTATGTATTGAGGAGAACTCCAGAACCTGCACGGCTTTGTTGAGCGAGTGTGGCAGAGGTGCTCCGAGGATGAAGTCCTCCAAAAGGAAGTCCACGAACACAATCAGCAGCAGGACCAGGATGTCGGCTACAGCCAGGGCCAGTAGGTAGTTGTAGGAGGATTTCTGCCGCCGCAGCACAAGCTGAGAAAGGATGATCACCGTGAGGATGTTTGCTGCGTGAGGAAATGGAGAGAGAGAGATGTGAGAAGTTAGAGAGGGTGGGCGAGAGTGTTGTTTGGCAGGATAATGGCACATACATAAAAATGCTTCTGTGTTAAACTTATGGGTGTTAGAATGATTCATGTAATATTGCGCTGGATAGTTATGAAAGTAATTGAAGACAATATTATAAGCTACTCATCTTCCTCTGGAAACGCTCATAATATTGCATACATACATCACAGATCTGACATAAACGGCATCTTATGCATGCATTCATAGCAGCTTTTTTTTTGTCATTTTGACTTTTTAGTATTTTATTTAAATCCGTACTTTTAAGTAAAAGTTCAGCTCAGTATTCTACTTTGCAACATTTGTTTTTTGAGTACAGCCATAATTTGATCATTTATGTGAACATTTTTGACCTGCATATCAGTTGCCGACAAATATCTAATATTAACACTATTGAAGTCGATGCTTAGAGGATTCCTGCTTGCCTCAAAATGTTCTTTTGTGTTTAACTGAATAATGAAATGCAGCTTTAGAACAAGTAGAAGATGAGTAAATCATGACATAACTTTTACTTTTGGGTGAACTATCACTATAAAGGGTCATGAAACACCAAAACACTTTTTTTTTTTTAGCTGTTGACAGTCGTATATGTGTCCCCAAACTGCTAAAAACACTATTAGGACACACATATTTCACTAAAAAGTGTAAATTGGTCGTTTTTACTTCCGGTTTGAAACTAATTTTTGAAGCTGCGTCACGGTAATATCATAATAGCGTTGTATTCCAGCGTGCAGACTGGGCGTCTGTGTCAGAGTGTGTCTTATTACGTCTTACAGTGTGTTGCATTAATGCATGAGTAAGGCCTGTTTCAAACCAATCAGCGCGCTCTATTGTGCAACTTCATTAATATTCATTAGTGTCACTGTGTTTACGCCACAGAGACGCCACGTTGTGTTGGCAAAGCAAGCGTGAAGTGTTGCTTTTATAGTTTGCTGCCATTTAAGTTTTGTTTTCATTTTCTCTCTGTGAGAGCTCAGCTGGAGTCACGTGTGGATTAACAGTGTACGCGACGCTCGACAACAATAACTTTCGTGTCTAAGGAGTATTATTGTTTACCTGAGAACTGTTCTCATCTGCAAACGCTGAGATCCAGATTCGCTTGTAGTCTCCTCTTAATAAAGATGCGGCTCTAGTTGCTGGTGATTGTCCTGTCTCTGCAGATTTGGTAAGTGAGCGACCAGTGCTCTTTGTTTATTCAGTTTGTTCGTATCGAACAAACTATTGCACGGAGTGTAAACATGTTAGCACTACAACCAAACTTTAACCTCGTGTAGGATTTTCACCGCATTTTGTGACCGGAATAACACACGCGGCTTTCTGACACTACCTGCGGAGTGCGTCTAAGTTTCCGGGAAATGCTGAGGTTTTTTTTTTCTCTCATTCGCCGTGCGGTATCAAACATTGCATGAAAAATACACGAGCAGTTCCTCGAATAAAATATCTCGTTTGTCGCGAGGGACATGAATGAATTCCCTGAATGAAAGAGCCAAACTGCAGTTAAAGTCCACCATTTAATAATTTGACTACAGATGTCCATGTAAACACAGTCACTTTATCCCCTGTGTGTGTGTGTGTGTGTGTGTTTTGACTCTGAAAGTCAGCGCGTGCCCAAATAGACACTCCCACACCATGCCTCTTTTTCTGTCTCAGACACTCCCCCCTAAACGGAGCTGGACACGCCCACTTTTCTGACTTTTTCCAAAGTAGAGGTGTGAAAACACCCTGCTGAAATGAGGGGGTTTCATGGCCCTTTAAGTACTCTCTGACATTTTAACTGTTCAGAATTCTTTTACATTCCGACTACATGCATGCACTTATTACAGTTAAACAAATTCATTCATACCTATAAATTTACATGCACAATCATGCTCATGCATGCATTCACCACATCCAAGTTACCAAGTTTTTATTTAGTATATCAACACAAAAATGCATTCATTAATACAGACTTTCAAATCCACATACATACTTAAACATGCACATTCACAGATTTTGCCTTTTAAATTACTTGCATGCATTCAAATCCATACTCTGAATATATATTTAAATGCATTAAAATGCATGTCCATTCCTATGCTCACTTAAACTCTCATACACCACCCTGTTCATGGAGATCTACCTTCCTGCAGATTTCTCTTGAAACCCTTATCAAACACACCTGCCTATATGTCAAGTAAGCTCCTGGTCCTCATAAGCCAAGGATTGCTTCTGCTCTCAGGCTTTTGTGTATGCACTCATATGACTTGCTATGACTTTGACTCTATATTGGCATATAGATGTGTTCAGGAGAGGAATCTCATCGAGCCTGTGAATTTTCAGGCAAATCAGACATTGTTTGCCTGAGTGAAGTACTTTCTCTTCCATGGCGAAACACTGAAATTTGTCAGTCCGCCCCAGACACGCCCTTTGGTGAAAACTGAAGAATTCTATGCATGCGTGAAATGTAGCTCGGGATCACTTTGTTAATTGTGCATAAGTGGCGCTGTTGAGCCATTTTTCCAAACCCACTTTAGAAACCTGAAAACAAATGTAAATTTTTGTCACTTGGCGCGCACAAAGTTTTGTGAGTTTTCAAGCATGTTTAGACCATCAAAAATGCAATTCATAGTGGTGTAATAGCCTAGTGGTTAGCGCGCCGACATATGCTGCAGTACCATGTCAGGGTGTCCCGAGTTCGAATCCCGGCTCTAGGACATTTCCCTAACCTACCCCCTTCTCTCTCTCTCTCTCTTTCTCCAACTTCACTTCCTGTCTCAATACTGTCCTATCCAATAAAGGCAAAAAGGCCAAAAATAACCCTTAAAAAAATCTGATTAATTTTAGAGAAGAAGAAGAATTAACGGAGCAGTATAAACTGTAGGTCAGGGCTATTCAATTAGTTTGTCATGGGGGCCAGTTCATGTAAAGCAGGGGTCTCAAACTCAATTTACCTGGGGGCTGCAGGAGGCAAAGTCTGGGTGAGGCTGGGCCGCATAAGGGATTTCACAAAAAAAAAGTCCTCAAATGTCATTATTAACAGTTTTAATTATTTCTTCTGAACATGAAGTGTCCTGAACATTAATAGAACATTGAATGAAGATTATGAACAGTTCTTCTGAACATGGCATCTTTTGCCTACTTCTTGCTGCCAGAGACTTGACAGCGCTTCTTCTAACAAATCTGAACCACATTTGGCTTTAGAGCGGAAGCAGTTGAGACCCTCAGTATGGCTTGAAGATGATCATCATTAAGTCTAGACCTGTACTTTGACTTATTGAAGTTCAAGGTGGAGAATAACTTCTCACACACTTCTCACACACTCAAAACTCCCATTCCCTCACCTAAAAGAAAGGCGTATATATGTATAAATAAAACACCCCCACCCCACTCCAGTCACATCAGTCTGTGCCAGTCTGTATCTACCTATAATATATATAAGATGCAGGCTGTAGCTAGGTAGGTGGCAGGCTGCAGATAGGTAGCTAAGTGGCAGGCAGGGGCGGGAACAGCTTACCTTGGTTCTGGGGCCGGCGCGAGTTCCCTCCTAACACTTCCCGCCCGTTACAGCGTCTAACAAAGGGGCGGGGTGCGTGGTGACGTCACCGGCATCCCCGCCCCTTTGTTTACACGGCGGGCGGGGAATGCCAGTGACCGCTGTGTACGGATAGAATCAGCGGAGCGGGGAGCGCTCGCTCTCCCCGCTCCGCTGATTCTGTCAGGCCCCGTTTACACTAGTGCGTTTTAGTTTTAAAATGGCGTTTTAGAATGAAAACGATCCGCGTCCACACTCGCGTTTTACCCAGCGTTTCTGAACTGCTCTCCGTCCACACCAAAACGCTGAAAACGCACATCACGTGACCACACACACACACTTTGGCAAGCGCTGCAGCCTGTCTACCCAGATGAGAGCTGTGCTAGTCAGACTTCTCATCAAGCATCTCCCGCTGGATCTAATCTCACTATATTTATTAAACGTGATATTTCATTCATCTTGTTGTCTTTATCTAACGACATATTCCCTGACTTTGGGCATTGGAATCTATTACTTTTTCTTAGGTAACGTGTTTTGGCTGAGCGCAAAGATAATTTAATGATTAATGTAACCACGTAGCCTGCATTCTGTATATTGACTGATCGCTTGCCTTTATTTCCTATAATGTATAAACTTATTGTATGTTATACTTTTATAATGGCCATTATCGTTTATTAAAACTGATATTCAGCAAAAGAGAGGCTGTGTTTCGTATTTTCACTGAAATTGAAAGGAGGCAGTTGTTATCGGCTCCGTTTTGTTATAAATATCCACACAGTGAAGATGACGCTCATATATGCAGCACGACGCCTCAACATTTCTGCTGTCTGTTTAGTTGTTAATATTAAAATAAAAATAGGCAGTTCCTTATATCAAGTTTACATTTTATTGTTGAGAAAGGGAAACAACGTAGCCAGGGTGATGTGAATGAAGTTATAAAGTACACTGTTCCCTGTGAAGATTGACGCGTGTCCTCGGTATAGTCTGCTTTCCATATCAAACTGAGAAGAAGAGATGCAGCCTTGATCAAACTTGCGAAGTCTGAACTTACACGGAGAAGATTCAGGACTGAACTGTGTGTTAGGCTACTTAATATTGAGGAAAAGCCCCAATCAGAGAGGCGAATGTCTGCAGCTCCGCCTCCGTTTTCAGATGTCTCCGTCTTTCCCCATCCACACTGAGACGAAGCAGCAGCGTTTCAGAATGAAAACGGCCTCTCCAGCGTTTTCGAAACGATCCGTTTTCAGCGTTTGAGAACTCCGGCGTAGTGTGGACTGATTCTGTCAGTGTACAGCGGTCGGCGCGGGCCACAAAATATTGCACTGAGGGCCGCAAATGGCCCGCGGGCCGCGAGTTTGAGACCCCTGATGTAAAGCATCCCAAAAGAAAGGCGGGAGAGATATGACTTGCTATTTGAGTGATGACACAACTGCATATAAGAACTCATATGCTGGATTTTTGCCCCTTAAGACACTCACGTTGGCTTTAATGTTGATTTATTTTATTTTAAAACTACATAAAAGTCAGTGCCTTGTACAATAGACTTTTTTTTTCTTTTTTTTATACAAACATTCAAATGTTGTATTTCAGAGCACCACAAAAACAATGCATTGCTGAAGTAGGCTTCTTTTACATTCAGACACATTCATATGTTATGTTTTGAACTGCATAACAATTATGGATGCAACAATGATAGAGTTTGGTTGTACGATTATATAGTCTGAAGAATAATCATGATTTCACGTCTAATGTAAATTCAAGCTTTATATTAGGGAAGTTATTTAGAATAACTGTTGTTGCCATCTGCGTTCATACATACAGTACATAATCACTTTAATAATAATTCGTCAAACATATCTTTTGTTTGCACTGAAAGGCACGCACAACTCTCGCCGTGAGATGTCGCCCCGCTTGTGTGTGCATATTGGCATCTATTCCTACATTAGAAATTACAAACTTGCAAGCAGAAAAG